TGCTAAAATATATATATATATATATATACATATTAACAAAGAAAAATCTGAACTGCAAAAACAAAATTGGCAATAGCAAAACCAGCTCCACACATATCTTCCTGGTGCCAGTCTAGATAAATGGGCTGGGCATTGAGCTGGAGTAGGACCTGGGAAATAAAAGCGGCTTCTACAGGGAGTTTACCAATACCTTACTGTTCCCGCAGTTAGCCAGTATCATTTCTATGTGAGTGAATTAATGCTGGACCAGGTGGTGTAAGAGAAGAAAGCAATTTACTCAAGCAAGGTAAGTAGTTAAGTCATGCCTACATTTTTTCTCAAAACCTTTTACGTATATGTCCACACAGTTCCAGTTCTCAACATTTGTTCTCTCGTCCTATTCTACCCTCAGGAAAGAAACAACCATACAGGCCGAATCCATGCTAGGAGATTGTTCCATCATATCAGTTTTTCAACAGAATTGTGCAATCACAGAACAGAAGCCTACCAACAGCTCAGTGGTGGCCCAGGACAATTCCATCACTGCAGTTCTCTCATGGAGCTGAAACATCATATGCCATCTATAGCTCCTAATTTTTTTTTACACCGATACAATGCATATACTGTGTCCTCTCTTTAAAAATCAATCATGCGGAATACCTTGCATGCACCCCAGGCAGTGTTGACTTACCATAGAGAAGGAGATCTATTCATAGTTGCAAATGGAGACTTATCAGATTTGGGTAAAACTGCCCAGAGATCACTATGGACCACCAGCACACATGAAGTCATTCACATGATCTCCTATACTTGGAAGTACCAGATATGTCCTTCTTTCTTGGTGGCACAACAGAGTGGCCGAGGAAGCAAAGGAAATATGAACATTTGCTGCTGTGGAGGGGGGAAATTCCTTTTTGTTTTGCCTTGTATGGTTTTAAGGGTGAAGAAAAAAGAAATACCGGTAACATTATTCTTGTTGTCATGTTCATGCTCTGATACTCTCACCTTAAAACCCTGTGTTCTTTTTCTGACAAGCTACATTAACCAAATTCAAATGTAAGAATGAGAAGGATGAGTCTTTTAAGAATTTGTGGAGATTACAAGTACCTTGTAGTCTTGGCAGTCATGGCAGTGTGCCCTCATTGGGAGCACACTTGATAGCGTGTAAGAGATAGACAGAGAAAGATAGTTTAAATTACCGTATGTATATAGAGTTCTATTAGCAGGGCCAGATTTGCCACTAGGCACAAGGAGTGCAAGGGCTTATCAGCTGTTGTACATAAACACATTGCCCTCTTTTTTGCATTTTGACGGCCTTTCTGCTGCTCCTCATATCTGCTTCTGACCTCTATTCAGCAATGTAACAGAGGTATATACACTGACCCGCAATGTAACAGAGGTATATACACTGACCCCCAATGTAACGGAGGTATATACACTGACCCCCAATGTAACAGAGGTATATGCACTGACTCCTTCCTCTCTCTGCTAACCTTTGCATCCCAAACAGTACCCCCTTGTGCTTACCTCCAAAGTGGTGTATCTGGCGGCACTTGGTGGCAGGCAGGTCTCCAAAGCATGGTCCTCCTCATTCCCCATGTGACAGTGATAGTAAGCAGGACTTCTGGATTTACATATGAATGAGCCACGCTACTTGCATATGAATAGTTGAGATGTTATTTTTATGCAAATCTGATTACCCATTCGAGCCCACTTCTCCCCCGAACCCCATAGCGGCCCGATGGGTTGCTATGGCGGTAGTTCTGCCACTGCTTCTAACTGCTCAATTGGACTGATTCCTTCCTTAATTCTGAATTGGTCCGCTCTGAGTTTTTATTTAGGCCTCATTCAGATCTTTGCATTGTGATTATGTGTAATCTTTGGTGAGTTATAGTTCCACTCTCCAACACATACAGCTCACTGCCCACTATCCACGTTACTACTGAGATGTACACTCCAGCACACACAGCTCACTGCACATCACCCATTAGATGCCTCATCTTCCTCTATTTTACACAGAACTTCATTCATGTATCTGTATTACATGCACTGCCAGGGCCTTATAACGCTATTACACAGAGTGCCTCATTCCTAGTGCTTGTGCTTCTTTATTGTACGCATGTCTCATGCCGCTCTATAACATTCAGTGCCCCACCATCTTTATAAGTGTCTCATACTTCTCTGTTGGACATAGGATTCATACCATTGTAGTACACATTGTGCCTCATACCTCTGCATTACATGCAGTTCCTCTTATCCCTCTACCATTCACAGTTGTTAACCCCTTTCTATTACACAATGCCTCTTAAGTTCGTATTGGCACCCGCTACCCCTATGTTGGGCACAATACCTCACACCAATCTCTAATATACACAATAGCTCATACATCTATATAACACATGTATCACCCTAACCAACCCCTCCGCATTTCCAAAAACCTCCTGCTTCTGGGGGGCCTGCTGGCCGCTGGGTACCGATTCGGCGCTGGGACTGTGCTGGGCCCCCTAGAGACCCGAGGCCCTGGTGCGCCCGCACCGGCGGTAGTTCCGCCACTGCTTATGTGGGCTGAAGGGGCAGCTGCTTTGGGCCCCACAACAATGATTGGGCCCTGGGCGACTGCCCCTTTTGCCCTGCGTTAAAGACGGCCCTGTGTATAATAATAATAACACATATTGCTTCTTTCCCATCGATTATGTGCCGTACTTATAAATGACATGCAGTGCCTCATGCCTCTATTATATTCAGTGTATTATACCTATTGCTTCATACCTCTGTACTCACTGTCAGCCTTTTATTTTGTATTTCTGTAAGAACTCAGCACCTGCACTTCATCTTCTGTGTGTACAGTGCATCCTCCTGAATTGTAGTTTTTGTGTATAACAACGATCACCAATATCTTGAAATGTAAGTCCTGTGGACATGGATCTATAATGGGACTAAGGCTGGGTTCACAACTCAACAAGTGAAATCCCATACTTCCCTATGGGCATGGTTCCCACCTGGGCATATTTCAGCGCGTGGAAACGCGCTGAAGACGCCCTACGCCCAAACAAGTACAGGAGCTTCTTTTGGGGCGTATATTTCCGCGCGTGTCCATTGTATTCCCGAGTTTGGCTCGGGGTTAACAAAGCGATAACCCCGAGCCACACTCGGGAATACAGCGTAGGTCCGGCCGCTGCCGTCTTCCGTCCCTTATGAGCGTCCGCGTCGCAGGGGGGTGGAACCGGCGGGAAGTTTTAAAAAAAAAAACAGAAAAAAAGATAGAGAAAATAAAGGGGAAAAAAATCATACCGCCAGAGAGGTATAAAAACGAGTGTTGAACGAGCGTTTCACTGAACTAAAAAACGCGCTAAAAACGAGCTGAAAAAACGCGCCTATAGTAACACCCAGGTGTGAAACCAGCCTAAGGGATTAGAACTCCCAACCAGAATGTCATCATGTTCTATGACTGGAGAGGTACATATCTCATAATTGACCTGCACATACTGTATTATGTAGGAATGGAAGATTACAAATCCCAGCACAAGTTATATGAATTGTATATTTTGGGGTTGGGCTACTACAAGTCTCAGCATTACCTGTATATGATAGGACTAAGGCTCCATTCACATATAGCGTTTGCGTTTCCCGTGCAGAAGACAGGGCAGCATGAAAAAGCTAAAACCTTTATTCTGCACGGATTCCACTCGTTTGCGGCTATTACCACGAACGTATGGAATCCACGCGTGGACACGAGAGACTTCCAACCCAAACATATTTGTATGCAGTGGGTGGAGCAGGAGAGGGGATTACAGATTCCAGCATGACTTGTATACACTGTGGGGGAATTTATCAAAACTGGAGCAGGCAGAAACTGGAGCAGTTGCCCATGGCAACCAATCAGCTTCTCTCTTCAGTTTGCTCAGCTGAGATTTGAACATGAGAGATAGAAGCTGATTGGTTGCAGTACAAATCTGCTCCAGTTTTGATAAATTCCCCTCTATATGTTATGGGGGTACAAATCACAGTATTGTACCCCAGTATGACATGTGTAGTGTGGTATAGTTTAGTGTGTGTGTAGCTTAGTGTAGTGCTGTGTAGAGCAGTGCTGTGTAGAGCAGTGTTGTGTAAATTTGTGTAGTGTGTTTGTAGGACTGAACAGCACAAAGGTCAGCATGACCCATGTGTGACTCGCGGTCATTAGGTCGAGGTGACACAGTGGTCCTCATGTAATACACACAATCAGTGCGGTGTCACACAATCGAGGCAGTGCCACACAATCGGTTGGAGAACACACTTGTCCTTATGGATTTGTTTATTTCACATTGTGAACTTTCCATGCACAGTCCTCTCCTCTCAGCACACGTATAACCTGCCAATGTCACCACACCGGTGATGTTCCGCAATATCACTTGCCATCAGCAGAGGTGACATTGTATGGCTGTCAGCGATCGATGAATGTCAGGGATCGCTCGGTGTGTGCTTGCTAGTGTAGACATGTGACAAGGATGAACAGATGCCGCTGTCTCTCCACACACGCTTCTTCTTCTTCTTCCCACAAATGATTATTTCTGTCCCTCCTCGCTTGCAGTGTTCCTGCTTGTGGCGGGTCGTACCACTCGCGCACTGCAGTGTAGGGGGGGCCGCGCTGTTATAGTTCCCAGGCAGCGGCTCAGCTGGGCGCAGACTCTTCGTTAAACACACATAGGGGTGCCAGGATGTAGAATCCCACACGGGGCACACATAGGTGGACGTTTGCGTGTCATTTGTGCCCTATGGCGGTGTGAAGGGTACTGGAGCACCCCTGATGGGCGTGCAGTGCGGCGGCCTGGTGTGGGGGAGACGCGCAGAACAGCCGGTGTCTGCACCTTTTGACAGCTCTGCAAGGTACTGAAGGGACAGAAGCAGAGTGTCCGGACTGGGGTGCTGCCTCTCATCCCCCCCTATCAGAGCAGACATACAGGACTGGTGAGAGCCATCACCACCACCCCCTCCCCCGCTGTGCCCGCTGCCACTGACTGACTGTGCCCCTTTGTCTTAGGTGCTGCAGACCTGTGCCCCCATACCGGGGAGGAGTTCGGCCAGGGGTCAGACTGCCATGCACTGATTCCCCTCCTCCTCGTCTCTCCTGCCTTGCCCGGGACATAAATGATAGAGGATACCATGACTCTGCTGTCTCTCCTGGGTAGGATCATGCGTTACTTCTTACTCAGACCGGAGACCTTGTTCCTGCTGTGCATCAGCCTGGCACTGTGGAGCTACTTCTTCCACACGGACGAGGTGAAGACCATCGTCAAGTCCAGCCGGGACGCCGTGCAGATGGTGAAAGGGAAGGTGGCAGAGATCATGCAGAATGACCGCCTCGGAGGGCTCGATGTCCTGGAGGCAGAGTTCTCCAAGACCTGGGAGTTGAAGAGTAACAATGTGGCCGTCTACTCCATCCAGGGCCGGAGGGACCACATGGAGGACCGCTTCGAGATCATCATGGACCTGCTCAACAAGACTCACCCATCCATCTTTGGCATCTTTGATGGGCACGGAGGAGAGGTAGGTGGCAGGACAAGGGCTGGAGAACATTGGCAGGTGGGCTGAGGTGGTAGAGGTGCCAGCTTGTCATGGCCATGGGAGTGCCTGGCAGGAGATCTGCAGTAGGGAAGTGCTCAAGTACTGGCACTTCAGCCCCCATTCACACACATTTTCTTGTAGGGTTCTCAGTGCTCAACATGATGGATCTCATTATTTTCAGGGGTTCCCATTCACACCTGAGTGTTTTGTCACAGGTTTCCCCAATTCCAATTACACTCAACATGATGATTCCCATTATTTTCTGGGGTTCCCATTCACATCTGAGTGTTGTGTCACAGGTTTCCCCAATTCCAACAACACTCAACATGATGATTCCCATTATTTTCTGGGGTTCCCATTCACATCTGAGTGTTGTGTCACAGGTTTCCCCAATTCCAACAACACTCAACATGATGATTCCCATTATTTTCTGGGGTTCCCATTCACATCTGAGTGTTGTGTCACAGGTTTCCCGAAGCCCAACAATGCTCAACATGACGAATGCCGTTATTTCTCGTGGTGCCCATTCACACCTGAGTGTTGTGTCGCGTATTGCTTGTAGCTCCAAAAAGTACAGGAGCTTCTTTTTGGGTCGAATCGTACATTTTTGCCAATGGGAGCACTTAAAATTGCACATTTTTTGTGCAAATTTATAGTGACACTAACCTCAGGAGTTAAATCTTAGAAATACATTCAAGAATCTGAACTAATAGCAAAAATGCATCTTATTTGTGTATCACCCGGCTGTAGATCCTCCAATCATCTCTGAATTGGTGCTGACACTGTCCTTCCTTCTGGAGGGTGGCTACTTTTCTTCCCCATGGTCCCTGTGTGTGTGTTGTAAAGTAGCCACAGCTCCAAGCTCACTCCTGTGATGGACTACAATATCACGTTTAGTTTACTAATTTGTATTGAGATTGTAGTCTATCACAGGAGTGAGCTTGGGGCGGTAACCACTTTACAACACACACAATGGGGGACAAAAGTAGCCACCCTCCAGAAGGAAGGACAGTGTCAGCATGATTTCAGAGATGATTGGAGGATCTACAGCCGAGTGATACACAAATAAGATACATTTTTGTTAATAAGGTACTTGAATGTATTTTTAAGATTTAACTCCTGAGTTTAGTGTCACTTTAATGCCTAATAAGCATATTCTCCTTCTACTAACTAGCTTTCCACTGGCTAAAAAACCCCCCAATTATGACGGGAAAACTCTAAAAAAAAAAAAAAAAAGGTTTAAAATCATTTAAAATGGCTGAAGTGTGATTAAAGGTGATGGTTGAGCTCCAAGTGTCAGCACTTGTCAGCATTTGTAGATTGGGATAGGAAGGAGTTACAGGTGAAGGCAGAGATGCCGTATTGCTATGGTTATCTCGTCCTTCAAAATTTCAGTAATGATGGACCGGGGAAACGAGCGAGTGTGTCTGTTTCTTCGATGGTAAAAAGAGAAAGTGTGTGCGTTGTGTCAGTGGAAGGATCGTAACAAGTTGTGTTGGGCTAGATTTTCTAATTGTGAAACATATCCATTAAATGATAAAGGCTGAGCACTCCATGAGATTACTGCAGGTGGTCCTCAGACTGCGTGGGAGATAGAAATGTCCGTCAGATAGGTTGAGGTTGTCCAGGGAGGTTGATTATACGGCTAATGCTGGAGCCTGTAATCTCACAGTCACATAACATGCATCCTGGGATTTGTTGTATCCCAGTGCAATAATAAACAGTGTCATGCAGGAATCTGTACGCTGTAAATATATGTACAGGTCATACTGGAACTTGTAATGCCTTAGTCACATAATACAGAGTGCATGCGGGTCAAGCTTAGACTTGTCTCATAATGTCAACTGTCATACTGGGACTTGTAGTTCTAAGATGTATAACATAGGATGTATATACTGGGGTTGATTTACTAGAAGCAAATAGCTTAGTCGATAAAATTAAGCTTTGCTCAGTCATCCAAACATGTGCTGTGTTTTCTTTCCCTTGCACATAAGTACAGGTATGTATTCAAAGTAAACATCATTCACTGTACATACACTTTTTACACTGAACATTCTTATTGCCTAGTGAAAAGCCTCTACTCCTTTAGTAGATAAACCTTGAGTGTGTAAGCATCTAGTGCTTGGACCCGTAGTCCCCTAGTCACATAATATTAAATGTAAACGGGTTATGCCGGGACTTGTAGCACCTATTCCCACAATTTACATTTTACGATGGTAACGCAGGGACACCTAGCCCTCTAGTAACATAGTGACATAGTAGTTTAAGGTTGAATAAAGACCAAGGTCCATCCAGCTCAACCTATGTATGTGAGTGTGTGTGTGTGTGTATTTTTCTTACTCTAACACTTCCCATAGTGATGATGAGAGTTGTAGCTTCCCCTAGGTCCTGTACTTTACACCTTACACAAGTCATGCTGGGACTTATAGTTGTCTGGTATCCCAATAACTTTACATAAAATGTATATAGACACTTAGTCCACCCCAGTTACATACTATACAGTGTATATAGGTCATCTTGGGTGTTATACAGGGGTACAAGTACTCCTAAAAACGAGATCCTATAGGTTGGACTTGATGGACTAATGTCTTTATTCAACCTCAAATACTATGTAACTATGTAATCTTGGTATTTGTAGTCCTTTAATCACTTTCAGGTATATTCAGTAAGACTGTACAGGGAGCACACCCATAAGAGGAGTATAGTGCCCTTAGCATCCATTTTTTGTTGGTGTCTTATTTGGGGGAGGGGTCTCTGACAGCTAGGTAGGAAGTATTTTTGTCTCCTGTTCTGGGTCAGAACTTTAGTCAACAGACCTAGGACACTAACTAATGGACAGAGAGGTTGTCTTTATTTCATATCACCCAAATAATATTCTCTATGCGGAGGCCAAGTGGGAGTAGATCCCAACTGCCTGAAGATAAGGGAGGCAGGAGGGTGGGCAGCTGAAAGTCAGTTATATTGGTTGGTAGAACAGCTTATACTCCAAAGGGAAACCTAATGAGTCAGAAATGTATTATGCGTGGAATGTGCTAGTTTAAAAAAAATCCATACATGTATAAAAAAGGCTTATTCAGAACAATGGTAAAAATGCAGCACCAATGAGTTTTCACATTACTGTAGTCAAGTCATTGAAAATATGATTTTTGGGTTACTGCACTTTTCACTTGCTGTTTGCATTGCTTTCCTGAATGATGGTGATAGTTTGATGGCTTCAGCTACCATTTGACCCCAGCCCTGAATGATGGTGATAGTCTGGTGGCTTCAGCTACCATTTGACCCCAGCACATGTGTGGTGAATGGTTAAGGCAGCCTTTCTCAACCTTTTTAACATGGAGTAACTGGAGTAACCTTAGAAATAACTTATAGCACATGGTACATTAGTGTGATTGTCACTGGGAAGAATGCTCCTTACATTTGTGGTTATT